CTTCACAGACACAAATATACTGTCACTCTCTCCTCTATCCTTTTTTCCTCTTCTCCCCACCACTTTCCTGTATTTTGGGAAGGGGCAAAATACATCTATGGAACAATTTTGGTTGCATCTTTTTACAAGTGAAACTTCATATAGCTCCACATGCAAAACAGGAAAATAACAGCAGCATTGTCCACAGAATATTTGCAAATGACTCTGTTTCATGCTAACATAATTTTGTGGCTATAATTTTACAAACTGAGTAACAGATAAAAGTATAGGTACAAAGCATTCTCTTGAATATCGTGCATGTGACTTTGCTTTTCTTGTCCTATTTTCCCACAGGCACTGAGCTTATTACTAAAGGTTTATGTCTGTAGGGAAAGTGGAATACCAAAAGTATAGTTTTGCTCTCAGGAAGAATTGCCTTGTTATGAAGACTCAGTAAATGCTGCTGTTGGAAAATAAATTGTCCCAATCCACATCTTTCAATTCCCCTCTGTCATCAGTTCTTCAGGATAGTAGGACCCCAAAAGCTACTCTGTGAATTGCTGAAACATGTTATACTTGTATTACTTACACTACGAAATTTGGGAGGCATTTTTTACAGCAGTCTCCCCCTCTCTGCCCCCAGGTTTCTAACTCTTTGTTTTCTTCTGCTTTGTTTTTAAATGCAACATCTTTTATAGTCCCTGCCCAATTTTAGAGGTTAAAGTGGAGGGGAGGATCCTTAAATATCCACAACAGAAATAATAAGGGGATTTCCTGAATAGCTACACTTTTTCTAGGCTCTTAATTCTGAATTTGGTGCACATAGCCACGTGTGCCAGTGTATATAGACATTTTTAAAATTGTGCTTGCTATTTATGAAGTTTGAATATAAGAGATCTGCAGACTATTCTAAGTAATTTTGTTCTCTGAGCCAGTTTTAACAAATATTTTTGTCCAAAGACTGTCTAATTTTATTGACTTCCTCTTTAGTTCAAGATATAGATAACAGTGGAAAGGGTGAGGTGGGAATAAACTTATTTATTTTGCTATATAATTTAACTTGTGATTTTTTCCATATGTATGGCACTTAAAGGAGATATGTGTGTACTATATGCACTTGTATGAAGATGATAAACTGTAGGGATGTATGAAATCTAGTATTTGATTGGCCTCTAAGTTGCATGCTAGACACAAAAGGGGAAAAGGGCTGGGTTGGGTTCTTTGGGTTTTTTTAAGATGGGGAAAAATAAAGAAAAAAGAATTAATAGCTTTTTTTCCTAGTGAGAGAATTCTACATTCTCTGTAGTTACTTTTTTCAGGACTATGTACTGGTGTTTATACTGAAGCTGAACCATGCATTTAGACCAGGTTAGTATGTTGATTTCTTTTAAAGAAACAGTTTGTGCTGTGTTTTACTGTGATAGAAAGGCTCAATGAGATGAAAACAAGGGCAGACAACACACAGCCATACCCCACTTCTTCTTAGCACATGGGGTAGTGGTCGTAGTCCCTTGTTTCTCAGTTATTGTGAGGTGAGCTGTACAATGTGAGTGTTGTTTGCAGTCCAGTGATGATCCTAGACATGACTATGCAGATTCACAGAAGTGGATGTGAGCGTGTGCACATTTGGTGCAAACAATGCCAAGAGCCAGTGAGCAGTCTTGCCAGAGGTCCATTTTTTTTGGTTTTCTCAAATCATGGATAACCATGGGCTGATCAGAGTTAGAGGATAAACATAGTATTTCAGTGAGAAGCAGATGTCTAAGGGAGATATTGAAGTGATGCATAAACTACTATAGTAAGTGAATATGTTCTTCTGTTGAGATTAATGTATGATGACTTGATTTTACTGCATTTCTTGTTGTTACATAATTTAATCCAAGGCTCCAGAATATCAGACTAAGCAAAAGAATGTTGTTAGTATTCCAGGTTAGTACTTAACTCTGCTACCTGTCTGATGCAACAAGATAATTGACTTGTGAGTATATTGTTTAACTGTAGACATCTTGTTTATGATCATTCAAACTTTCTTTTCAGAATTTTCCATATATATAGTAATATATGTAAATATGATATATAACCATGTACAATTTAGAAGATTATATCCAGTGCAGCCCTTCCATAAGTTACCTGAGGAAACTTAGTGAGCTCTTGAAGAGACAGTTATCTTGATTCTGGTTCCTGCTATGTTTATGCCCTCCACTTCACTTGTTTCTGTGGTTCTGTCTAGCTCATGTGGTGAAGACTTTAACTCACTTCACTGGAAACAATGAAGACCTGAACGTGCAAATGTATTTAGAGATGAAACAACTGTTTCTTTGAAAATCTTGCAGCCAGAAGTCTGTGAAGTTATTGGCATTTGAGTGCTTGAACAGGTCATGCTAAATAGGTGCTTAACATTGAGCAAGTGAATGCTTTCAGGATCAGAATTTAGCAAAAAAATCTGTTTTTCAATTACTTGTGTGTGTAAGATTTCTAAACTGGAAGGTCCATAGAATGTGCACACGTCTGAGAACAGTCTTGCAAACAATCCCATTTTACTCCGTAAACAGAAAGAGTTTCAAGAAAATGGAGCTAAAAAGGGAAATCTGGCTGTTCTCTAGACTGGTGCAACAGTATGATAGATTAGATTATGGGGATTTTTAACAGATTCAAAGGAACATTCCTTCAAAGGTTTACATTCCTTCTTCAGTGACTGACCTGAATTCTTTTTCTTTTATCCTTGCTGCTTCATACAGTCTAATTAACTCTTCAGTGTTTACATTAAGGATGAAACATCCCTTATATTTTTTATTTTTGACAAGTATCATGTGTTTGTTTTGAATCTTGTTTGAATTTGAGTCTCAGTTGGGATTTCCAAGTTTGCTAGCTTTCCTTGTGTTCTAAACGAAATGTACTTCAGAAGACAGCAATGTGGTTGAGATCTCTTGTATATATTTTGCGCAGTACCTAGACTATGAAGTACTATTGTTCTGTAAAGAGGGTGAATAGAAATTATTGTAAAGCGTTGGGAAAAGCATAGTATTGTATTTGTAACAATATTGTTCTTTGTAAACATTTAATGATCTCTCTATATAAATATAAATATATATATAAATATATGTGAGCCTGGAATGTTGATACTGCACATCTACTGAATGTAATTACTCTGATGTTTTCTGCCACAGGTCTCTGACCTCTGTACTGAAGCTGTGGTGGTTTGATTTGGGGGGGCAGGAGTGAAAAGAGTGGGCTTTTTGCTTTGGATGGGACAGGGCGGGAGGTTTCTGGCCAGTTATTTTGCTGTGATGTATTTACTGTGCTACATTCCTTTATTTAACAGAGCGCTAATGTCTGTAAGATTTGCAACAATAAACGACAAAACAAAAATACCTCAGACAAGGCTGAGAATTTGCTCATACTGACCTAGGGGCTGGCTTGCCAATGCTGAATGCATAGATCATTGGAAGGTGTCTGAACTTCTCTTTGGCCACTTATTCTGGAGTAGTTCTGTATGTGCTTCTGCAGGTGTGAACCACTGCTGTTAACTTCAAAACAGCATTCTTTCCAGGTAATACATGACACTGGTGCTCCTAAATGAAGCCAATTCCTAAGCTAAGATGGCATCCCTGTTTTTAGTGTGTGAAATGTCACTGTGTTTGCATCTTAAAAAAATATGTTTTTTCAAGATGCCTTTTATGTGACAGAAATACTATTTCATTGGCTGAATAACTTACACTTTTTTTCATAAATCGAGCTTTGATAAAAATTCTTCACACTTAGTGTCTTCTGAAACCACTGTTTTTCTTCAGATGTCATCAGCATGGTTTATTACTAAAGACCTAATACCATTTGAATAAATAAAAAGTAGAATTGTAATATGTCTGTCCTTAGATTTAATCCTGGACCAGCCTGTGCTAAAGTTAAAAATACGTGTATAACAAGGGATTGATTATGAAAAACATGATGGCATTTGAAAATCAACTGAAAAAAGTCACTAAAGAGGCATTTTGTCTAGTGAGGTCTCATAGGATTTTCTCTGCCTCTTAGGTTTGTCATGAGTACTTTGAAACTACAGAAATGAAAACATACACCACAGATGATTCAGAAGATAACTACACATGGACCTTCAGCCACTCAGTGGCTTTTCATAATATGAAATACAAATATTGTCTACATCAGAGACTGAAGTATTTCACCTCATTTGCTTAAGTGATAGACTGGAGAAATTGTGAAGTCTCTGGTAAAGGGTGCAGCAGACAGGCTGAGTTTGCTTTCTGTGTTTCCCTGAGTGCCACCCTCCATCCTTCTGTTTATTACCATTTCCTGTTGAAAAACATCTGTGCTTTAGAGCTTTGGTTTTGATTTTTGTTATGTCAGTAAGACAAGAATAATACTCTGCCATTAAGTGAGAAGTTCACTAAGCCAAAAGAGCACTTCTTTATATTTTTATTTCAGTTTGCAAATCAACACCATGTTTTATAAAGAATCATTTAAAAATTCTGAACACAATTTTTTTTACTAACTTACTTTGTATCTTGAAGTCTGCTTTTGTGACTAGAGTTCTTAATACAAGCCAAACTACTGGTAATTAGCAAAGTGATACTGCTTTTGACAGCTCCTTCCACAAGAATGATATATAATCATACCCCAGAACTGCACGTTACTAAACTTCAAAATGATGCAACAGGAAAGCAACGTATCACACTATGCAACTGAGAGGCCAGTATGGTCAGATTGCAATCTGCTTAATACGCTTTGTCTGGGTATCAGAGTAATAAAAAAGACAAGGTTATTGACACACTTTTCCACCCCCTGTCAGTTATGATTTTGCTGTGCAGTATGTATATGTCTGACAGAAGTGCTCTGCTGAGTCATAACTAGAAACCTGTTTTAATCAGTAGTTTAATTGCAGTTTTCCAGAAAACACTAGTAAGACTGTGAGACCATTCAGGTTCTGCTCCTTAGATCCTCCTCTCTGCTAGTTGATCTTCATCTGTGGTGTCAGGTAGTCAGGTCCTCACAGCTCTCTGGGATGCCATCTATGGGATAGGTAACATGTCGACTCTCAATGACATGGCCTCCTGGGCAGGTGTCATCACCTTTTAAAAGGGAAAAAAAAAGGTAAACCTGTTTTCGTTTCAGGCTCTTACTCCACTACAATAGTTTCTTACCCAACTAGAAAGAAGCTAATTGTAGTGCTGTTATGTCTAATTTAAAAAACTGGAAACTCCCAGGTATATTCCAAGGAGGCATGGCAAAAGCAATCCCAGTTTGGAAAAGGAGTGGGGTAATTTTTCATGGTGTTGTTTTTGGGGTTTTTATTTGGTTGGTTTGGTTTCTGTTTTATCCCTTGAAGGTGCACAAGAATTACCTCACTCCAACCTATGGCATATTCTGTACTGGTTAAAGGGAATCTAAATGTTGCTTCCTGCAGAAGCTGTTGAACTGTAATAACCTTCATGCCAGTGTGATAAATTAAATTCTCATAAGGAATTTTTTTTTCCCCTAGCTGTTTCTGTCAAATTTGTTGAGGCTTTTGTTGCCTGAAGGCTGCAGTTGGAAATCTAACTTTTCCTGCAGAACCTAAATGACACTCTGATGTGTTTTGCATGAGAACTGAAACCAAAACTAGTCAGCAAATCACCAGTACCACGCATGAATCAATTTATCTATCCAAATGGTCTGTAAGCTACCCAAACATATGTTTGATGAAGTCTGAAATGTCTGAAACTCCTAAATAGTAATTCCATTAATGTAAGCATGGATTTTCTATTTTCTGCTTTTTTTCCTTTAGAACAAGGTCTTATTTTTATCTTGGGAGCCAGTCGCAAAGAAGTTGCTTCTAGTGGGTTTTCATAAAAATTTCCTTGTCAGCCTCCATTCCGTCCTGTTTGTAATAGCAAATGCTTATTTATAACATCTCCCTCTCCCCTTCCACACTCAGCATAAAACACTGTCACGTTATTCACAGTTCATGATTCCACCATAGAAGACCAACTTGTTCAATTTTGGAATAGACAGATGTTCGGTCTTCTGATAACTTTCCTCTCTGTGTGGTTGATAGAGAAAGAGACAGTGCAGCTGCGCATCCTTTTGCATAGTCCCTACATGAAACTTAGGTACTGAAAGAAGCTAATTTGGTGCAAAAACTTTGACATGCAGAGTGGTGAATGTAAGCATATACTTCCAAACGAAATCTGTGGGTTTTCACATCACCTGATAAATACAACTGATAAAACTACCTGCTCATTGGTGATGGCTTCTGCCATATGTTTCTCATCTGATTTTAAAACACACTTGGTCTTTTCCACCAAACTCATGTATGTCACGGCTCATGCCGCAGGAGGACTGCTGTGGAATCCGCGCAACAAGCTATTTAATGTCTGTGTAAGACCCATAGTCTATAAGATACTGGGGTCTTCCCCTCAAAGCTCTTGCTCTTGAACTCTTCTGCAAGATGACAGCATGGAGTTGTTTTATGTTGCTGTGTGTTGCAGTTTCAAATCTGAACAATGTCCCTGAAGACTAAGAAGCAAAGAAGACACCCCACATGGTTCATGGTACCCCCTGTGATTTCACTCCTGGTTCAGAGAGGATGCAGTGCACAGTTTAACCACATAAAATACTCACTCTATAGGATTTACACTAGACAAAATGCCTGTAAAATAGAATCGTACATAGCTATGGCTGAGTGCCTATCCCATCAAGGGGTCTGGAGGGACCCGATCCCCCTTCGGAAAGCTATTTGCCCTTTTGTGTATATTGGTTCTGTTCTCTTTTGTTTCTGATCTGAAGAGACCTGAAATGCTCCTTGAGTGTTAATGTTAACATTCAGTCATACATAACAGGTTAAGCAAACCTAGAAGACTTTTATGATCTCTCTTCAATTCTTTGTACCTTTTAGTTATTATCAGTGAAGAGGACTAGTTACAAAATATCTTGTCAAGCTGTTAGCTAGTAATACTACAAAGTGGAAATTCAGTGGGAAGAAAACATATCCAAACATGCAAAATTACGTTGCAAGGATTAAACACGGGTCAAAAAGGAATCAGTTTCACTGCCTTCAGTCCAAATAAGAATCCACTGCCTTTTGTGTGAACAACAATTATCAGATTTTTTCCCTATTAAAGAAAATATAAATAAGAGCGCCTACAGGTTGTTCAAGAAGGATGTTAATGTTGACTCTATATCAGTGTTATTGTCCATACCACCATGATGCCAGAAGGAAATGCAAAAATTCCTAGCAAGAAGGCACTAACTTGAAGCAACATCCATTGTTCCATTGCAGTGAGTTCCCTTTCTGCAGCACTTGTGACTAACTTTCAGGTCTGGGTTTAAAGCTTCCAAACACTTTTGACATGGAGTCTCTCTACAACCGAAATGCTCTGCCCTCAGCTATGAATAGGCTCTGTGTCATGTAACTATTGCTGCGGCAGCAGATTCTAGGGGCTCCTGTGATGGAAGTTGATAGGAGGAAAAGAGAAAAAAACACATGAAACAGCAGAGGCATGAAAACAGTTCCTCAAAACAGCAAGTGTAATCCAGGTAGACATGCTCCCAAATATACAAAATAAATGGCTTTTACTAAAACGTCCTATTTGCATTTACGTTTTGAGTGCTAATATGTATTGGCAGCTACTATGGGGATTCCAATATCCTCTAGTAAAAATTGCAAGACTCTTGACTAGTGCATTTTTTAGGACTGTCAGCAGAATCAAGGACTCTACAGTCACGCTAGCAGTTTCCCCATAGCAACTGAATTGGATCATTGACATCAAAGTAGCTTCATCTGCTGTCCACCATGGGTTGTGTTGTTTGGGGTTTTTTTGCTTTTTTGATGTTATGAGGATCAAGAAAAGGGGAGTAAATTTATAGGCTAGTACCAAATACACAAGCTGATTTTGCTTTAAATTACTCATATGGACAACTGCCCTTGCAAGATTTTAGATGTCACTGCACTGAGAAATCCTGTGTGCCCCACCACTCATCTTCCACCATCTCTCCCTTCTACCCAGGCTAGCAATGCCTGCTACAAACTCTGTCTCTAGATGTGTGTGATGGTTTTAGTCTAGGCCTTCCTGGTGACCAGTTCGTAACCAAAGAAGTAGCCAAGTACCCAGTATTCCATACAATTTTTACGTAAACCAGAGTATAAATAAGTCGGAGATTAGAGACCTCGCTCTTTTCTCTTCCGGCGAGGTTTGGGAACAGTGGGTCCCTGCATTGGTCTCGCTTATCTAAGGCTGAGGCCTGCAGAGTCCACCGTCCTACCACGTGGAGGTTTGGAGAGTGCTGGCTGTGACTGCCGATCCTGCTGTTCTAAGGGACGTGGTGAGATCTGTTTTGTTAGTTATTAGTATAGTTTGATCTAGTATACCTGTTCGGTGTCCCTTTTGTTCTCTTTCACCCCCTTTTTTCCCTTTCCCTATCCCTTCGGGGGGGGTGGACCCCCTTTTACTGTGTATATAGCATCTTAACTGTACATAACTGTAATTTACGTAAATATAGATATATTCTTACATAAACAGCTTAACTTTGGGTTCTTTAATTTTTATAGTTTCTTTTCCTTTAACCTAAGGGAAGAAAGGAGGGGGGAAGGAGGCTGCTGTCCTAACTTTCGGGCATTTGGCAGGGAGCCAGGTCCAAACCGTCACAGTGTGAAAGCTGAAAGAGCAGCAAGGCTAAGAGATTGAGTGGAGGTTTAGCAAAGCACACACACACACTGCTGTAAGATAAAGATACTCTGTTCAGAGGCACTAGCTGATTTCTGCAGATATGAGGTTCAAAGCACTAACCTTCTAAAAAATGTTCTTTTAAGGAACCATTACATAATCACAGGTAGAGAAAATCAAGTCACCTTGAGGTGAGTGGCAGTGCAGAAGCACAGCGTCACTTTTAGATTGTTTCTGCAATCTTGCATTTGAAGAGGAAAGCCTTGCTCTGCTGGAAGACTCGCATGTTTCTGCAGCTGAGTAATCAAGAACAGTTAAGGAAAAGCAGTCAAAGCAGTCAGAATAAAGCAAGTCTGTAGAAGCTATTAATAGAGATTATTTCTGATTTTTTCCCCCCATGGACACAAAAGCCTAGAAGTGCATGGATGTGTGCACAGACCCACAATTGCTCAACAGTCACTGGCCTAAAGCCTCTTCGAACATTTGCAGAAACCTGTTCAGTCTTGTGCAACTGGTGCAACAAAAGACTACAGTGTTGCCTAGTACAAAAATCACCTTAAACTACCTGATCCGAGAGAAGGGAGCTACAGTTTTCATGGAGAGAAAGCTAAATCTCTCCGAGCCCAAAATCCTCCAGCAGTTGTACCAAGTTATGACAGCATATGGCCATAGAGATCAGTCACCTTTTGCAATTCATTAGCTTGTAAAAAATCAGTCCCTATAAAGGAATTAAAAATCTTGTTTCATGAGGTTCTTTATTAAAGTAAAGATTCTCCTGAATTCTTGTGATACATTTCATCCTTCTAATTAATCAACAATCCTCCTTTTCCTTAGGGTGAAATTAGATGCCTCAATTGCCATAACTGCCATTTACTGAACTGGACAGGATGAAGTTACGTCTATTTCTTACTAAGCCTAGTTCTGTACCTCCATCTGATGGCACCTGAAATATTACAGAAAACGATATTCTTGCTCATGCAAGAGTTAAAAAAAATGTAGTGGCTTGACCCTTGCTGGATGCCAGGTACCCACCAAAGCCACTCTATCCCTCCCCTCCATAATAGGGAGAGAAAAAATATATGGACAGGGGAGAAAGGCTCGTGACTTGAAGTAAGGACAGGAAGAGGTCATTCATCAATTACCATCACAGGGAGAACAGCCAGCCTGGGGGAGTCGAATTTATTACCAATCCAAGTAAAAGCAGGATAATGAGAAGTAAAACAAATCTTAAAAACAACTTCCACCCATCCCTCCTTCCTTCCCAGACTCTATCTCCTCCCCCCAGTGGTGCAGGAAATGAGGATTATGACAGACTGATGAAACAACTTTATGATTTTATGATAATTCTTTACAATATTAATGTTTCAGACATCAGAATGACAATTGGCTTAAGGTGATGTGTACTGGAAATGCATACACACAGTATGTGATGATACAGAGCAGGTACCAAGCACCCCCTGCCACGAGTGGAAGGTTGCATGCTTTCCTACTACAGTCAGCAGAGAAAGTACCATTCTGCTTGGCAGGAGTGCTTTTGAAGTCAGTAAAACCATTTTAGCTGGCACAGAGAAGCTTAGAGCTCCTCCTGCAGCCAGCAGTGAAGACTCCCCTGGTTCTGCCAGCAGAGAGCAGTGCGTATCTTTAACTTATCCATCAGGAGTAAAATTAATTATCAGCCCTAATGAAGCCAAGGGAATCATGGCATCATACACAAATGCCCTGCATGACAGACTGCCAAAATAAACTAGAAGTTCAGGTTTTATTTATAGATGTTACAGGGCATCAGGTGAGACTGCCCATAGACTTACTCTGCCATAATTCTAACATATGCCTCCATTTTATATTTCACTCCTGCTATGGTTTAACCCCAGGAGGTGGCTCAGTTCCCCCCAGTCAGTCAGCCAGTCACTCACTCACTCACTCTCTGCCAGCGAAATGGGGAGGAGAACTGGAACAGCAGAAGTGGCAGAACTTCTGGGCTGAGATAAGGACAGCTGAGAGGAAGTGAGAAAGGGGGAGAAGAAAACAAACAACAACCTCCCCAAAAAAACAAGTGATGCAAAAGCAATTGCTCATCACCAGATGACTGTAGCCTGTCCAGTTCCTGAAAAATGGCAACCCCAGAAAACTCCCATCAGGTCTTTGTTGTTGAGTGTGATGATGCATGACATGAGACATGCCTTTGGTCAGACAGAGCCATCAGTCCCATCTGTGTCCCCTCCCCAGCTTACATGCTGCAGGGAGGGTGGCAGGGTAAGAGATGGAGCAAGCCTCAATGCTGCCCAAGAACTACTAAACAAGAGCTAAAACATTTGTGTGTTATGAATACTGTTTTGGTCACAAATCCAAAACAGCACCATGGTGTGCTATGAAGAAAATTAACTCCAGCCAGCCAGATGCTGTACTCCTCCCTGAATATAAATAAAGGAAGAGATACTGCTCCGGTATTTCTTTTTCTTGAATTCATCGCCCCTAAGAAGCCTTGGCATCTAGAAGAAACACTGTTAATTATCTTTGTTAAAATGCTCACTTTCTTTTTTATCTGAATTTAACAGCCAGGTTGATATTTAAATGTCTCTCTACAGACCTCTTTATTAAACAAAAATATTGGACAAACCAGTTAAAATGATGGAGGGTACATTTTGTCATATGTTCTCAGGTAGAGACCTACCTTTGCTTCTTTCAATGGAAGTTTTCAAATACAAATGCCTCTAACACTGCCTCATCATAGCCTTTTTAAAAAACAAAACAAAATTTATTGACTGTCCTTCATAGCAGTTGCATTTTCTATAGTTTTCCTTTGCTGTTTCCCCTTCTCATAACTTTTAGAAGTCACACATAGCCTTGTGTTTGTTATCCTATTTTTGTTTGTGCTCAAAGAGCTCTGAGAAAGCAACAGGAGTTTTATCAGTAAGCAGGCCTGGAGAATGAAACTTTTTGCTACAGCTCTTCTGGACTTCCTTCTGGTTATCATAGCTGACAAGACACAGAAGCATCCAAGTGCTTGTTTTTAGAGGTTTCAGGTAGACTGTTAGTTTAAGGGAACTTTGACAGAGTTGACATTTGGTTAAAGTATGACCACATGTACACTTTTTTCCCCCCTGACACCACTTCATAGGAACAATTTCAACTGATGCACTTCAAACCAAAAGTTTTTTTAAAGTTTGAGAAGGAGGTTGGCAGAAGACAGGCCACAGTCAAATGAAAGATTTAGGGCTTCTCCCCTGCCCCAGTGTCTTTACTCTTTTGAGGTGTGAATATTGTGCAGACAGGCAAAAAGCCAGCTGTTCCACAAATGACAATCTTGCCATAATGGCAAGTTCAAATGAAAACTGGTACAGATTTTCAGAGGTTGTACTGAAAAAGCTGCCTGTGACTTACCTGGAAGCCAATAATATTTAACCACAAGCATACACTGCAACAAAGATTAGGCTGAAAATTACTCGGAACAATTGGCATGGTTTTCTAAACAGTGCTGAGCAAAGCTTGATGTGGTCTCTGTGAGTAATCTAAATATGTCCTGTACCAGTATGCAGAAACAATTTCGTAATTCTTTCAGTTCAGGCTCTATAATAGTGTAATTCCTAATTTAGATCTACACACTACAGCATTAGTCTATCCTTTTCCTATTGTCATCAGCAACAAAACGTTAACAGGCCCCATCACATATACTAAACAAAAGGAAGTACTGGAGCTGGACATCATTTGTTGCAACATGTGGACGTAGTGTCAACAACTAACTTGTAGGTTACTAAAAGGGAAATGCATCTTCCTTTTTGTATCTTAAGTGCAAAAAACTTTTTATGGGTCTTAAACATTAACCCTTGTTCCCACTGCCCAAAATAATCATGATTCTGTATCTTTTGCTTACAGTATGGTGTCTTTCAAAGAAATAATAGTGTTGCTGCTACATCAAATTATGTGTGTTGGGTAGAACAGCTCTAGAACAAATTTTAAAATGTACTTTTTACCTTGAGAGTCCTGGCCTGTACTCTCTTCCACTGAATCAACACAGTTCATGGCACTTACTTGTAGTGCACCTCCCTGGAATAAAATACAAAAGTTGAAAAATTACAAGTCACCATCTTTCTCTGGCATTTTCTAATAACTGCAACATTCCACCTTAGACAGGAAACACTTTTGCTTAACTGCAAAGTGACTATTTTTTATGTGTTTAATTCCACTGCAAAATCAAGGCTAGGGAATGTCTAATATTAATGCTCACCATTCAGGTCAGCCAATTCTTTCCTACTGAGTATTTCTGGGGAAAAGCACCTGTGTTCTGAAAACAGCAGTGAAAAGAGATCACCAGTCATGGTAAAACCCTGACCTAGTCCCTCATGACAGGAGTGCAGGTGCCTGAAGGAAGTAAAGCAAGGAGGTCTAGAATAACCAGCAACAGATCTGTTCCATGGTGCTTTTTGCTCCTTCCCCCATGCCCAGGCAGAGCTTTCCAACTGGGGAAACTTTTCAACTCTACAAGTAAGTGATCAATTAAAATCTTTGGTGAAAGTTACAGCAAGTCACATCTGTAATCAAATGTGTCCTCCTGGCTTATGTTTATCACGCCTCAGGGCAACCTTACCCTTACAGCAGAAGAAACAAGTCATACTTCAACCTCCTGTGGCCTATACCTGCTCAGAGGTGTTCGAGCTCTGCACATCTTCGTAAGGGGGAGGTGGGTCCACATGGAAGAACACTTCAGCACCATTGATTTGTGTTGCATAAACATTGGGCAAGGAAAGCCCATCACAGACAAGTGTCCTGCAACAAACAGCACAGAGCAAATCTGTCAGTATGGCTTTCCAGTTGCTGAAAAACATCATCTGCTATCAAACTCCACCGGCTTTCCTGTGCCAGCTCCGATTTTGGCATCTCAGTCAAAGCTATTGGACTCGCCAAGAGCTGTGAGACATTTTCTCAGAGGATGGTAGGAAGTTGCTCCTTAGGAGATGCCTCTCTAGTACGTTCCCCAGAGCTTCAAACACCTTTGGGCACTACTGCGCCTAAGAACACATTTCAGTTTTACTTCAGAGATTGTTTTATTTCAAAAGATTCAAATACAGATTGCCCACTCAAAATGTGACAGCCTAGCTCTGTGATTTGTGAACTACTGAATTCTTAATTATAACAGAAATTCAAGATACTTGTCATAGGTTTGAAAACAAATGTTGGAATTTCTTCCCCAGTGTTGTCCCCCCTTTCCCGCCATCTGTTTCCTCTGGGATGGGGGGAGTCCCAAGGGGGAGATGGAGCGGAGCTCCTCTGGACACTGTCTGGAGGGAACAAAGGTGACTGTGAAAACTACTTTCTTGCAAGCTGAGAAGAATGATGAAAATGCCCATGGAAGACTGCTTGCACAGACAGGAAAGAAGAAAACTTCCAAAATGAGAACCTGGGAGCCCTTTTGTGAAAGGGTCCTGTCAGGGCAATGGAGGTAATGCGTGGAGAAATCTGAGGAAAAGAAAGTAGCTAGTTTGATAGCTGGTCACTGCATTTTTAGTCTTAAAAATGGGGAAAATACAACATGTTAAACAGTTTTTAATTTCAGGCTATTTCATCTGCTCTGTAAACTTCCAGAATAATTTAGAAGTACTATGGAAACTGATGCTTCCTTGACATTAGTTCACTTTTTCCCAATGTGTTCATGCTGAACTTAAATTCAGTGTAAGCCACAAAATTATATACATTTTGAATCTTAGTTTTGTTTTTAAGCCTTGCCTGATCTGGCCTACCCACCTCAGTCTCATCTTGAAAATTAATGTTGCGTCCAACTTTTATGTTAAAACTTCTTACAGAACATGCAAATAAAAAAGCATTCCCTTGAGTCCCTTATTTATAAATATCATTTCTAGAATGTACCCAAACAATACTTTAAATTGGACTGAGGTAGATTTCTAGCCTCCAGGTGACTGTCTGGTTGCCCTACATGGATCTCCTCTCCCCTAAATTCACCTGTCTTATAACACTTCCATAGAATCAGAGAATATCCTGAGTTGGAAGGGACCCATAAGGATTATAAAAATCCAACTCCTGGACAAGTTTGTATTTTGTTTTTCATCTGGAAACTCAGCTGTAACTGTTTCTGTTGTGCCAACACTGAAAAATTGCTATTTTTTTATTTGTGAAATAACCAGATTAGAGGTAGGAGTGGACCAGACATTTGTAATGCTAGGATTTTTTGTCTACCATTAAATAAGTCTAGAATTTCTTCCACAATCAAGTGAGCAAACCAATTGGCTTTGACAGCAGAGCCTCTGGCTTTGCAATTTAAAGAATGGAAGAGAATAGCTACCCATTGCAAACATGTCCAAGGACAGAAATTAGGCCTGTCTCTTACTTTAATTCTGCACTTCTGCAGAAACTACCTGAACACCCTGAAACAAGTAGCATGACTTCAGAAAGATGTCACCACCATTTAAATGTTATTATCAACAAGATTTAACACAGTCACAGGCAAGATAGCTACTCAATATTAGACCACACAAGCATCAAGTATTGTTCAACAGCACCGACTGTGCTTAAAAAAAAAAAAAAAAAAAAGGAGATTGCTGCTTTGAAGAAGCATAGATAGAATAATATGCCAGATGAAGAATGACAGCTCCATTTTAAAGCAGGGGAACTCTGAAAAGCATGTTTCAACAAATATTGATTCTTCCAAAGAAATCACATACCATTCTGTTCTCATAAGCAGCTTGAACCAAGACTTACATAGGATGTTTTTAGTAATGTTTGCTCTTTGGTGTTTTAGAGGACTCGTTCTTTCTAAAACCTACTGCTGTGCCATGATACCGTTTTCTAGACAATCCCAGGATCAGTATTACTTCTGTCAGGATCACACAGTCTTGAAAGTCATGCACACTATTTCTTATGAAACAGTGAAATAAACTAAACATTCCTGCACACTGCAAAAAGTTGGAATTTTAAGCAAGAGTAGAGTGACAGTCTGCTTGAGCATCATACTTTATATATAATATTGTGTGTTCAGAACAGAGTAAGGCAGCCCCACCTGAGTCATAAGTTAATAAAGAAAGCCAAGCTGCAAATTACTTTTAAGAGCACATAACCACCTGCAGGACAGTAATTAGCTGGCCTGTCAGTGCAGTCAAAACATACCCTTCAGTCAGCCCAAACTACCAGAGGGAGAAGGGGAATCACTGTGGCAGAAAGGTCCTTGAGAGGACACCATTCAGGGTCTCTCACACAAGTCTTGCCAAGTGGTTGTCTGGCTTCCCATCACTGCCCTGACCTGCTCTTGACAATATCATTTAAGTTTTCAGCTGTGTCAAACTGTAGTATTTCTGTTACCCAGAAGCAGTTCCTACAGAAACTAAAGTGAAAACCACAACATTTTTCCCCTTAGCCACACTGTATTTATGCTGCCTTCAAAATCAACAAGTTTTTTTTCTTCTTTTCTATTTCCCCTAAAGTCACAAACCTTTTTCAGTCAATAACAGAGAAAAAAGTCTTAAAATAAAAAGAGTAGGCAGTGTGTCCAAAGTCACTAATAGACAGGAAGAGAGTGTACCATTTTACCTCATCTGGGGAGGATCAGAATTACAAGCTGCAAAATAGGAGGGAGGCGGCACTGGCGGGACAAAATCATCAGGATCCGAAACGCGACCTTGGTCTTCAATCTGAAGTTCACCCTAGTCAAACAAACGTTCTGTTAAAACCCATCTGAGCTACAGAAACTACTGAACTGGGTAACCTAGTAATACTGTTACCACCGCTGTTTACAGCCTGGTGCTCACTTACTAGGCAGCATCTTCTTGATGCACTTATCTGCCAGTAATGCAGGACAACCGCTGTAAAGCAAACTGTAGTGATGAGAGCATTCAGGACACAAAGGCCTAAGAGAACTTTCTGGAAAACATGAAGATGTGTGAAATTAATAAAAAAATTTAAATCAAGGTATTTGTAAATGTTAAAATAATAATAGTAATAATAATCAACAACCAAATTTAAAAAAACACAGAAGGAACAGGTTGACTGTAGCAATTACTTCTAAGAAACATTTGTGATGAAGTCTTTAGCACAATCTCCAAGATTGGAGTAATTTGCAAAAACTTGCTTTGCCCTATTGATTGTCCTGACAGAGATTCAGAAGGGTTCAGTACAGTTCAAATGTGATTTATAGTCCATTGATTCATCAAAGAATTTAACCTTTCTCTTAACTTCTGTGGGAAATCCAGCTTCAAGATAATCACCATTAAAAAAATGTTAAAGCTCTTTTCACACTTGAAGATTATTCTGATTGGGAGTATTATTTCAGCAGTTTCTAAGCCAAGAAAGGCTGAGAAGTTCAAAAGACTGGTTAGGGAAGTAAATCATTAGCTAAAATTTACATCATATTTGCCTATACAGTCTTGTCTTAATTCCACTGTTTTTTTGGTCGAATAAAACACTTGGTTGTATAAAACTGCTTATTGAATCAGCAATGCACTGGTCAAAACCCAGAGATAAAAAATAGCTAAACTGTTACAGAACCATGAGGAGCTTCTGACTGGGGTAAAGACTAGAAAAATAACAGAATTTTTCCACAGTAAACACAGCAGCCACTTCAGCACTGCAGTGTTGCACAAGCATGGACATTATAAAAAAAGTCATATGAAGCAGTGTGTGTAAGATACCTTGAGAAGAAGATGAGCAGAAATGCATGACTTCACATGGTATAGCTTCAGAACCGTCTCTACTTCCGTGCATTTAACGAGATTAGGTTCTTCACAGCAGAAACAAATCTTGTTTTCCTTATCCATCTTAAAGAAACAGAACTCCACTTTTTAGTTTTAACTGCTTTATGCAACACTTTTACCTGCATAATATAGAACCTATGTTTTAAACTAAACACGTGATCACAAAGAAGACTGGAAATACAAGATCATAGAATTAAATTTGAACAGTTTGGTATGCCAATGATTCATGCATTATAAGCACTTCTTATCTGAAAACCAGCATTATGGATAAGCTTAAGACATTTAAATACAACTTAATTGTAAACAAAGCTGCACTGTTTACTAAGCCATTTTATTATCTGTGCTACTTCAAATGCATAGTAGCCTAGAAATTTTCTTTCACTGATGTATAAACCACTCTATGAAGTGTACACATTTTCTTTGATTCATGAATGTATCTTGCATTTCTAAGGATGGAATGAAACACACAACTATAACTGCAACTTAGTCAAACCATTAATAGTCACATCTGTGCAGCACTTGTTGTTTGTAACTTTCAAATTAATACTGACTTAGTTTTCAAAGTAAAAACGCAATGTTTTCATACCTAGAGATAATTGGGTTTTTAGCTGTTAAACTTGATAGTTATGTCAACACTCTTCCACCTACAGAAGCCACTCTACAGAGTAATTAATGACTGCAAGAATGCCTTTTGGGTGTACCCTCTGCTTCCAACAGCAGATGGCTCAGAAATTCCTGAAACATTAAACTGTCTCATCAGGAATAACTTTACCAATTCTCAGTGCTGCTTTAGTACAGCGATACTGGTTGAATCTACACTATGAAGTGCTTCTAATCTTGGACTCTCACTGCAATATGCCTATTGGCATGTCAAGGAATCAACAATACCCTTTGTGAAGCAATAAAGGAAAGGAAATAGATATTTAAAGATCTTCCCATTAATTCTTGAAGTCCTTCAAGCTTTTACACACAATCATCTTCATTACCAAGTGATCCCACATTGTATCCTTTCAATTATTTCACAGATTTTGGTTCATAAGTAGTTATTCTTCCTTCTTTTCATTCATAAGAAGTCACACTTCTTATAACGACCATTTCAGAAAAATCTTTTGCATTCTGCCCTGTCTTGCACACATAGCTTCTTCCTCACATAGAAGTGTTCTGAAAAGCTAGTATGATTTCGTTTATCTTATTTTTTTCCTCACAGTTCCTAACGTAAGGTATCAACACAAATTGTCCTCACCAGGTGAGGCAAAACAAGAAAAATAATCCCACCCACAGATTATAATGACTAAGCTTTCTGTAGGTAGTTCACCACTACCAACTCAGGCTGTTTTCTACACTTTATATTTGTCACATTACTAAAAAAATCCCTTATGCTAGAATCTTCTTAAATGACTTGCAACTCTACATTAGCACATTTTGTGATTTCTGCACAACAAGCTAATCTACCATAATGAGAAGAAATAGATGTAAGTTGGTATGTGTGCTCACCAAATTGCATCTGGGTACTCTGGACAAAAACTCAATGCCTTGACATCCTAACATAAATCCAGTCAAGCTCAGTGGAACACAGATGAGAGACAGCAGAACAAGCAGCCTGATCTGGAACAGCAAAACAAAATTAACTGCAGTGGCAATAGGAACCCAGCTCAAAGAACCTATGATAGCGCAAATCCCACTCACAAACTGAAACTGGGAACACCACCGCTGCTTTTTCAAAACTTCCCATGACTTCAGTGCCCCAAGGTGTCTATTCCCAACACCATTGTCTTCTCTCTCTCTCTCTCCTCTTATTCTGCACTAGTTATGCAGAAGTAAAATACATGCAACTATTGAAAATGTCAGCAGTAACAGCATAGGCAACTACAGGTTTTTCTGAAGCGCAAAGTATGATTTGCAAAGCCCTCTGACTTCCACTGTGTGGTCATACTCTTCCACCATGTTTAGCTGCCAACACATTCAGACCAGTAAAGAAACCTGAAAAGGAGGAAACACATTAAGCCAACATTCACGATGCACTGAATTTCCAGAACTATTTTGCAAAAAAAATAAATGAAAAATATTTGTCCCAGTACAGTGAGGATGGAGACACTTATGAGATTTTAGTAATATGATTTTATTTCTTCCGGGGTACTAAAACCAAAACATTCATAACTCAGATAATACCTTCAGATTTATAGACCATCTGAAAAATGAGCAATAGCAAGCGTAATAGAGAAGTTGAAAAAGGACAAGCAGAAGTAGTGGATAAAATGATATCTCACTTTCACCTCTGCCCTTACAATCTGCACTTACATGACTTGGGATATGGATTTTGAACACATATAAGAACTTTCCATGTCCCAGTTCATACAGGCAAGATTTTTATGTACTTCAGGAGAAAGTACTATGGGTAAGACTACTACTTTAGAGACAAATAAAAATTATATTCCTCCTTTAAGGATTCAATCTTACAAATCAAGTATGAGATCCCTACTGTCCTGAAGAATCCTTGTTAATAACAACCTGTTCAGTCAGATTTCTTTGTAACAAAATGGTCTAAATTTGAAAAGCAGGGCATGACAAAAAAAAAAAAAAAACAGAGGAAGAGAAGGAAATCATGAGGTACATGGGTTCAATTCTTCTCCAGGCAGCTTTAGAGCGGATCCAGAAACAAGGACTTCCTAAACATGCACAGAGAACACAATGGCTTTGCCAACTAATTTAGCTAATATACCATAGCTAACTACTTGGAATATGAATCAAAAAACAATCAGAGTTGTTGCACAAATTCTCTTCCCATTTTATGAGGTTCAGGGAAATATAATCACCCATGAGTAGACCAGAGCCAAAGAGCATTACTGTAAAAGCTCATTCCTTAAATTATAACATCTCATTACTAGGAGGCTTTACAGAAGTTTGACATTTTCCCATAAGGTAGGTTTTAGTCTCAAAACCCCCAATAACTGAATTAGCTATCAGTACTCCTCTGAAGAGGACTGGGACTATTCTGTGTTCCACATACTAAGAACAAAATAAATATTAAGAGGAAGAGTATTTTCCCCTAGTTTTCTACTAATCATGAAAACACAGGTTTTTAGTTCTAGTAAGCACTCTGAGTGACATTTGTTTTTCTGTACAAACACAGAATCTAACAATTTTTAAAAATTAACTCCTTACATAGCACTCAATGAATCAATATAATTTCTTTTATCTAGATTATCTCAGTTATCCTTTTGATTAAAACTCCTTTGAGAAAATAGTTTCACACAGGCATTTCATATAAAGAACTACATTCAACACAGGGCACTGACAACTAGGAATTAGCCATTTAAGTGAAATAGAACTTGTTTCAGCATAAAACATCTTTATAGTAAAAATCTCATTAAATGGTATTATGAAAAACAAGAGGTATATTTGTCCTCTTTCAAATGATAAGGAAGTGAAATAAAGAAGTGATGTGGCCAAAGGAAAGAAAGATTTTGGGGGAAAAAAAAGTGCAAATTCATATTTAAGTTTTCTCCTTTGGTACAGAAGCTGCAACAGAAACCATTCAGTGTACAGCTATATGAAATGTTAGAATCAAGACTCCTAATTAAAAATTTTGAATAAAATTATCGAGATTTTTTTGAAGAAACACGGTAAAAAATCAAAGCACAATGAGGAAGAGAAGGAACATTATTTACAGATATGCAAAACAAGGATGACAATTTCTGCATTTATGTTCTAATAAATCCTACCATTCATAAGTGCAATCTTGATCTGTTTTTTATTACATGTATAGTCTATTTTTGATGCATAATCCAATATTCAGACAATCCTGCCAAAGAAGCAGAAGAAAATTCCTCAGCATACAACCTAAAATACTACCATAATCTGAGCCATAATCGTAACATTCACTACTACATATCTGACACTGGACAAGACAATACATGGTACTTGAATGTCAAGAGAAAAAACTCCTTTTCCTTTCTGCTCCATCACTGGCCAGCATTTTCACCGAATCACTGAAATTGGAAGGGACCTCTTGAGATGTCTAGTCCAGTCTCTTGCTTGAGCAGGTTCATGGTGTTCCTGCTTGTCACAGAGGCCCTGGAACTCAATGGTTTACAGCAGGCTGCCAAAGATAACGTCTGGTGGGTTTTGACTGTCTCAACAGACAGATACTTCACAACCTCTCTGAGTAACCTACAGCAGTTTTTGACCACCATAACAGTAAAAAAGTGATCTCTTTTGTTTCGATGAAATTCCCTATTTTTTTCAGTTCTGCCCTTAGCCTCTTCTCCTGTCAGTGAGCACTACTGAGAAAGGTCTAGCTCCCTATTCTTCCTTCCCTCCCATCAGCTATTTACAGAGATGCAGAGGACCCCCCCCAGGCCTTTTCTTCTCCAGGTTGAACAGTACCAGCTCTCATACCTCTCCAGGCATGGGAAGATCATGTCCCTTCACCTGGTGGCAAATCTCTGTCTAATCCAGCCCAGGATACAGTTAGCCTTCTTTGCCACAAGAGCAATTTGCTGTCTCATGGACAGCTTGTTGTCCACCCTGGTTTTTCTTTGCAGAGCTGCTTTCCAGTAAGGTGTTCCCCAGTGTGTACTGGTGTCATTTCCCTGCACAGACAGGACTTTGCATTCTCCTTCGTTGAACTTCAGGAGATTTCTCTCAGTCCATTTATCCAGCCTGTCCACGTCCTTCTGAATGGCAACTTTTAGCATATCAGCCATTCCTCCCAGTTTTGTATCACCTGTGAACTTGATGAGAGTGCACTCTGTCCCATTGTACAGACCATTCACTTAAGTAGTACCGGCCCCAGTTTCTACACTTTGGACTCTGCTGACCAGCCTCTGGCTGGCTCAGCTTTGTGCCACTGATCATAACTCTCTGGGCTCAGTCAGTCAGTTTTCAATCCCCCTCACTGTTCAATCTAACATATATTCTGTTAGGTTATTTCATCAGTTATATTCTCCTGCAGGTGCATGTTTAAACTTCTTCTCTGTCACTACTCACCTGTAAGTAAAAACAAGTGTTCCACTTTATCCCAGTGACAGAAGACCCCACCCAGAGGAGAGAAGTACTTCTCAACTTAGAAAAAACAGACAAAGGCAAGCATTGTATTTTAAAAGTCACAATAGACAATAACTGGTCTTAACTGCAGTGATAAAAATGGAAACAACTCAAATTGAGGCTTCAGTTTGGCTCACAGCCTTCATCTTCTGAGCATTAGATACACAAGGACTGTGAAGAGCTGCAGAAAGCTGTGAGGAACATTTATATGAAGTAAAGTATATGAAATCAAAGTGTATTCTAATGTTAGATACAGTATTTGCTATTGTCTTGAATGGATTATCTCTTCCAGCTAAAAGAGTCATCATGGACTTCGAGGACTCCAAGGAAGCATAAATTTGCATAATAAAGCTCTGACACTATCTTTCATTCTGCGTGGGGAGATGGCTTGTTGTCCCACTGCTGCTGCCATTGAAGGGAATACCTAATGCCAGAGAGGAATTGCTTCCACTTAATTATGTGCACACAGGACTCATGCCTAACCAGGCACTTCAATGAAAGAAAAACTTTTGTTCCACAATCACCAACTCTTATATCCATGTACAGCCTACATATGTACTTTATAAACATCCTGTAGGAAAAGGCAAGTTAATTTATTAATTGTACATATGCATAGCAATGATAGCAATAATTAAAAATTTCGAGACCTTACTAAAGTTCTGTCAGTTGTGAGAGCATGGAGACTCATAACACAACTGAAAAAAAAAAAAAAAAAAAAAAAAAAAAAAAAAAAAAAAAAAAAAAAAAAAAAAAAAAAAAAAAAAAAAAAAAAAAAAGCCACACAAGTAAAAGTCATATTAATTCATTTACTTAAAAAATCACAGATTTCAAATGAAGGACTAAAACACCCTGCATATACATACGAGAGAAAAGCTTTTGCAGCATAAACTGGCTAAAAGCCTCTCGTGGCTTTTCATAGTCTCACAATTAAAAGCATTATTTCTTTTTATTCGCTTGTACTGACTGTAAAACCTTTGTAAAATTACCACATATTGACCTAATGCTGGAGTCTTGAACATGAGCAAAGATGTTAACATTGAGCTATTTTACTTCTAAAATCAAGAAAAAAAGGTACTACTACAGTAATTCTCACCAAAGTTGAATGACTTTGCTTATTATAAAGCACATGACCAGGAAGAGATTGTTTTTCAGGTGCATGATTTGCAGCTTCTGTTTATAATGCCTTATACTGTTACTAGCAGGGCTAAAATTTAAAAACATCATTGGAACAAATAAAATCTTTATTTTAAGGCTGCTAGGATGTATTTTGTTTCTGATAAAAATTCTCAATTAAATACAAGGTTCACTACAAATAAATTCTTCAGAAATTTTCAAGTTTATAAATAAATGCTTGAGTTCCATAAACTCTTCTGTATAAATCAAAATTTATGCATAAACCAAAATTTTCTGTCATAAACCAAAAATACTAACACTTTTGAACTATAAAAATCTTTCTATTAAAAACTTCAAATACTTGTTACCATACTGTAAAACACAAGAATAATCCAGACTGAACGACGCACGCTGAACACAAGACTTTGACTTTTCTGTCAAACCACACAAAGCTTTACATGAAAACTGATGGCATGTATGAACACGAAAGCTGTCATGCTAGCTAACAACAGAAGCATAAAGCACATGATGTAGCTGAAAGCCAGAGCTGCATTTAACCAGCCTACATGTGCTCTGTTAATTTCTTGATCCAACCATTTGCAGATACTGAACTGCTCCCCAGTGCTTGCAGCTACAGCAGTTAAACTCTACTCAGCGTAATAAATTGGTGTCCTGCTGGACACTGGCACTTTCATTTGACCACAGCTAAGTCTTCTCTTTAGCAGCAAAACTCAAGCACCAAGCAGCCACCAGTCAGATGCTAAAGTCTTTGTATCAGCTGGTGAAAAAAAAAAACCCAAACCAGAAACAAACACAACCAGAGTAACCTAAAAGAACACTCTGCAGGATTGCAACTAATCAGTACATGACTGAAAGGAAAGGATACTTCACTAGCAAAGGGCTTCTGCATTCAGCAAAGCATGTACAGCTCCAGGCAACAATGGGGAATACAACACAAAGTACACTGACTAGTCCAAACTAGCATATGAGTAACAACAGAGGCTATTATAGCAAGCATGACCTGTTGAAGATGTGAGTAGTCCTCAATTACGCACAAACCAGCAATGGAGATTTTATGTTCCTCCTGAAAAAAATCAGTTCCTAAAGTCAAAAATAAGATTTAAAGCTGTATGAAAGGAAAGAGTTTAGGACCAGATTTCAGAGATGAAAATCCTGAATCCTGAAATCCTGAATCAGAATAGCAAACAGGTTTCTTCTATAAAGAATTAGTATTTTTAAAGGGAGCACGGATAAATGTCAACTGCTTCATAAAGTTTCCTAAGTCGCAAACCGACAATCAAAACCAAAAATTAGATAATACAGAAACACACGAGAAACAGCATCACCGTGTTCTTGAGCATACCAGAATCTGCTCTGAGGATCAGCACCTCCTCATGGACAAATTCTGTAGCACTCACTAGTCACTGTAATTTTGCTCATGACTCAGCTGTGGGAATTAGAAAGTTTAGATGATGGAGCTTAACCATCTACCCCTAATTACAACCCAACTGTTACATCTGAGAGCTTATAGCACACATTGTGTAAAATTAAAATCTAGATACAATTATTCAACTTGAGCTGAAAACAAAGCCATTTTGGGGGCTTTGGGACTATATGAAGACTTTGGGGGTGGTATTTGCACTATTTGAAGAAATTATGAAAATGAGTGATTGAAAACAGCTCAAACACATAAAAAGATGAACAGAGGCCCTTCCTTAGGCATTTGTAGATTAAGACATAACTATATAGGGAAAAAGGATAACCATTACTTAATCCTATAAACTTTACACTTTAACTGTTGAGCACAGTACAAAGTTTCTGCATAAAGACAACTAAAAGCAGATGTAAGTTGCTGCAACATAAAACACGGTAATTGATATCACTCCTTAGATTTCTGGCAAGGCCCTAGGACAGGTACCCAACATGTTAAATATCTGGGTTCCATAAAGATCTTATAAAGCCACCTCCAAGTGCAACCACTTCTTTCCACAAAGCTCACTTGCTGCATAAAGGCATTTTTACACCTGACACTTGCTTAAGTTAAGGGTTATCAGGGACACTACTGTAGGATCTCTGCTGCCTTCACAGCTTTGTACAGGCTTTGTACAGGCAAGCAGAAAAGGGATTCAGTGCAAAAGCTGGGAAAGATAAATCCATTAGAAGTGTATTTACAAGAAACAAGTGCTACACCTTACATAAGGAGCAAAGAGGGGAGGACAACCACAGCTGAAAAAATGATATGCTTTAGTTCTGAATGTATATTATAATTTTGCTTGTGAATGCCATAACTCTAAGTCATGACTATGAAATTAGTCTCATTGCTGAGATATGCAGGAAGCTTGCTTTTACAATTCACAAAACTCCTCATAACTCCCTAGAGAAAATGTTCAAGTAACTACAGTGTGGATATATTAGTATTTAGCACAAGATAAATATGCTCACAGAAACTAACAATCTGAACTTGAAATACCGTAGCTAGTTCAAGGCATGATTTCCTTAGCTTTATGAAGTGTTTAATGTTAATGTCCTTTTTTTTTTTTTTTTTTTGTACACAGAACAGAGTATTTCAATTGGAAGAGACCTACAACGATCATCTAGTTCAACTCCCTGACCATTTCAATCTGACCCAAAGTCTACAGAGTGTTGTCCAAATGCCTCTTAAACCCTGACAGGCCTGGGACATCAACCACTTCCCTGTGAAACCAGTTCCAGGCCTTAACCACTCTGCCTGTTCCAGAGTTTGACCACTCTTTCAGTAAAGAAATGCTTCCCAATGTCAAGGTTGATCTAATCTGGCTATCAAAAATCAGACCTCTATAAAATACACATATAAAAAACCCTGAATCACAGAATCACATAATCAGTGAATAACTGTGGCTGCAAGAGAGCTCAGGAAGACCCTTGTGTATCGTCCTGCTCAAAAGCAGGGTCAGCTATGAGATCACAGTGGGCTGCTCAAGGCTTTAATCAATCTTATGTCAGAAATTTTCCCATCTGCTACACAACACCCTAGGGCAATCCCAGGGCATGATCATCCTAAAGATCATTTCATATAAAAGAAAGGATCAGGAAGAGCTTGGTGCTTTCATATTTAAGTAAAATTAGTAAAGTCCCATAAGGTTTATACATTGGAGAATGTAAAAGAATGAAAGAGCAACAACAGACAAAAGGAAACTACAGAAACAATATGCTTAAGAAACAGTACAGAACACGAGCAATACAGGAACAGGGAGTGTCGGGGTTTGGGAGGCTTCTGGGGGGTCTCTCCCGGCGCTGTGAAGGTTCCTAGGGCTGAGATCACCTCTTCCCCCCCACGCTGCCTGCCCTCGTGGCGTGGACAGGCAGCGGAGGGGCCTCTGCCCGGAATAGAGAGAGCACGCAGCACGCAGGGAGGCCAGCAGGAAAAGAGAGAGTTTATTCAAATGTCCCCCAGCTTATATAGGCTGGTGGGGAGAGTGGTGATTGGACATTTAGATAGCCAATACAAAGAGACAATATCCAACATAGGAACCAATGATATTCAAGTGAGTTATCAGTTTTTAACCCTTACAAGGGAGCACTTTGCAAACCTCAGGCATTTTGAGACAGATGGTGTTTACACTCACTTTGATGAAAACACAGTTCTCTCAGATTTGGAGGCCTCAACAGCAAGGTCCTCTCTACAGCCACAGAATTCAAAAAACTTGCCTTGCTCTGCCTGTGTTGCCCAATGTACACTGAGAAACAACAATGCATTTTGGGGATGTTGTTTGACAGCTGGTTCAGTATGAGCCAGCAATGTGCCCAGGTGGCTAGGAAGGTCAATGGCATCTTGGTCTGTATGAAGAATAGTGTAGCCACCAGGACCTGTACTCAGCACTGGTGAGGCCACACCTCGAATGCTGTGTTCAGTTCTGGGCCCCTCACTTTAAAAATTACATTTTGGTGCTCAAGTGTGTCCTGAGAAGGGCAACAAGGCTTGTGAAGGGTCTAGAAAACATATCCTATAGGTAACAGCTGAGGGAGCTGGGTTTTTTTAACCTTGAGAAGAGGAGGCTCAAGGAGACCTCATCACTCTCCACAACTACCTGAAAGGAGGTTGCAGTGAGGTGGGTGCTGGTCTCTTCTACCATGCCTGCAGTGAGAGAACAAGATGAAATGGCCTTAAGCTGAGACAGGGAAGATTCAGATTACATATTAGAAAAAAAATTTTCATTGTTGGTGTAGTCAGGCATTGGATTAGGTTGTCCAGGAAGGTAATCGAGGCACCACCCCAGAGGTGTTTAAGAGGTGTCTGGATCTGGCACTGGGTTTGATGTGGTTTAGTGTTTTAGGGCTTACAGTGGTAGTGCTGGGTTGATGGTTGGACTCAATGATCTTAAAGGTCTCCTCCAACCTCCTCCAACCATTGTTCTAGGACTCACTGATTCTATACCTAGCTCACACATCTGATACTTAATACTCCTCCCTGATGTCTATGTGCATCCTAAAGAAGTGCTGCACAAAAATGAAACAACTGCTTTGGCCTGGAAGAAGTCTTCAGAAGTGGCAAAAAGGAAAAAAACCCCAGACAAATAAACAAAAAAACCCCAAGCCAACCAACTCACCAAAAAACTCCCCAAACCCACAAACAAAAGCAACTCCAAAGCATTTTTTCAAATCCCAGCTCTGAGACATTAGGAGCCACACAGCTTCAGATTTCACTTGCAACTGGAAACAGCTAACAAATCAATTTACTTCTCTCACTGCAATGCAATGTCAACTGTATCTGAAACGGTAACAGTGGCAGGACTTCGGCTAGCTCTCACAGCCGCTATCAAAAAACACTACAACTAAGCTAAGCTTTAAAGCTATCTCCCCCATCTCACTTTAAGCAGCACTGCCTCAGAGAGCTAAATTATTTATTCTAAGCCAGCACTTCCTTACATATACAAAACCACAAAATGTGCTCTGTAAACAACATTAACTATTCTTCCACACATTGTCCCTTCTTGCCCTTACTGGGGACTCCATCCATGCAGGAAAGAATACGGCCTTTCATGGCCTTTGACTCCTCTTTCAATAATTATGATTCTACAGTTTAAAAGGAGAGACTCAACCATACAGGCTGTTTTTTCAAGGAGAAAGAAGAGATTTCTCTTTTTAACAATGACTATTAAATCAGGATTATATTTTGATAATTTCATTACAACATTTTAATCCACACTTACCAAAATCACCGACCTCTTCCATGTTGTCAACGCAAAGATTCCACATAACATTGCCTACAACATCAAAAACATCAAGAAGTGAACAACTGTTCGTGAAACACTATTTACTCTTTTTTTTTTATTACTGTTCTAATGAATGGTACTTTTGAACACTACAACAATATTGGGAAGATATGAAGATGCACTCAGAGGATAACAACCTGTGCTTCTGAGGTTCTTCACTCCTAAAAACATCCTGTGAAATAACAACCAAATTTAAATCTACTCTTATCTAAATTTTTTCCTCCCAAGAAACATCTATGGGGACAAGTAGTATGTCAGCAACTCTGACCTTCACAATTGACTAAAATAATTATTTTCAGCCAATTGAGCACTTGTTCTCTGCAGCATAGCCAAGCAAATCTAAAAACTGGCTCTGTGTCTCCACCCTGTGCCACTATTCCAGCACTTCATGAAGCGGCTGCCTCTTTCTTCTCTTGTGCTAATTTGGCCCTCTTCTGACCATTCTGGTGAACTAAAACCCAGAGCATGAACCCTATCAAAACCACTGAGGAGCAGCAGCACTATCTCCCTGAAATGACTTGCTATTTAAACAGATTAATGCCAGTATCAGCATGAGGAAAGAAGAGAAATAAAAGCAACAGCAGTTGTTAGACCAAACTTGCTGAATAACAGAGTTGAACCCCACAAATTACTTTACCTTAGAGGGCAAAACAGTTAAGGAAGGAGAAAGAATTGCTGTAGAACTGAAACAAATAGCATACCCAAATACTCTCTCACAGAAGAATGGGAACCTTATAGGGAAAGGAAAATCAGTTTTTCAGTATGTCCTGCAAATCAACAGGTATACTTTTAACCCTTTGTGACTAAGCCAATTGACATCAAGCTCCTACCCTAAAAAAATTCAAGAAGACTAGACCAAGCAAGAAGTCATCCACTAGCATTTTTATTAAATCCCTTCTGTAACTTTATTCACTTGACCATGATCAATCTGATCTAGCATAATGTGCATATATGACTTGGCCAAAACACCCACTGGTATAACCACTGGTGTTGCAAAACCACATACATAACTCTGCAGCTTTATAACAAAGTATTTTTTTGAATTCTCTGACTGCAAAGTGATCACACGACTTTATAACAAGCACACCAATACCGATATGAATTGCTTTCTTGCCTTAAGGACAACAAGATTTAATTCACTACATTTGTTAAAGCTTTACGATAAGAAAAGTCTTTCTCAAACCTTTCCTGACTTGTACTTAACAAGTCATCATGTTGCAACTATAATGAAAAAAAATCAAACCAAACAACAAACAAAAAACAAACAAACAAAAAAAAACCAAGCCAAAAAAACCACTCAAACAGACACCATCAATTCCAGCTTTTAATGACCACTACTCTTCCAAGTTGCTTCTGGGCAAAAATTTTCACTCATGTTTTAACAACCACAAGGCATTTTCAGTAACTTTTCTGAGTGTACTATTGTTTCAGAGATAGCATTAAAAAATCCCAAACAATGCCAATACCCTTCTTCATTATTAAAGATACTGAATACTTCTATTTTCCATGTGCAATTTTAAAACATTTTAAAAGCATATGCATGGTTCTGTGCGCAAGGTTCAAAGAAAGTCCAGAGCTTACATATACTTAAACTTCTTTTAACCTAGAGTAAAGAAAAAAAGATGAAAGATCACAAGAGAGATACTAAAAATACACATTTGGATGGTCTGGATTTCCCACCACCACCCAAGGACTATGTACTTTCATTATACAGACAAACAGAAACTACTCGATCCCCAAACCACAGGTCACGGAGCACGTTTTCACAGGTGGTGAACAACACTGCAACGTAATTTAAACGTTTAAACCAAGAGACAGGCTGATGCTCTTTACCCTAACAGTAGGAGCTGAGCATTCCAGCCATAGAACATGACTTGCTCATTGCTTGAGGGCCCAGAAATTGGGAGCAATCACCCTGACCCTTCTACTCCTGTTGAATTCTGCTTACCACTGTCAAGCTTCTGCAACACAAACTATTATATATATATTCTGTATTTATAAAGCTGTGGTTTAAAGCAGGGTCCCACATGACACAGAATAACTCCTCTCCATGCTCTTTACGAAACTGTCACAACCCCATCCATTTTTTCCCCCTGGAACACTGTTTTGTCTGTCATGAGAGGAAAGGCACAATGCATAAAATCAATAAGCAACACAATGCGTGAAAGCAATACGTAACGTCTACATACACAGTGACTTTTGAAAATCTTGTTTCTAATTGCGTAAAATAATTTTTATTTTGTTATAATTATTTTTTTGGCGTGGAGGAAGCACGTCAGTAAATAAATTCCCCACTGGGGTCAAGCTGACATCCTGGCTAAAGTGTCAGGGAAAGCGTTACCCGCACCCCATTTCTAAACGGGGGCGGAGGAGCGGGACAGAAGCCCGCTCTGCCCCGCAGGTGTCCCGACTTACCGAGAAGCCGGCCCAGGCGGAGCTCGTGCCCTTTACCTGCGGGGCGCTGCCAAGCCACACCGTCGCGAAGCTCAGCGCCAACAGGGCGCTGCCCAGGCCGACCTGCAGCAGCGCCAGCAGGAGCGGGAGTGCGGGCAGCACGCCCGGGGGGCACGGGAATGGGCATGGGCATGGCCGGCCGCGCTGCGGCTCGTCCAGGCGGAGCGGTGACGGCGGCGGCGCCGGCGGGAGGGCGGGGGCGGCGGGGGCGGACAGCGAGCCCTGAGCCGGCTGGGGTGGCGGGGCGAGGCTGTGCGGGGCGCCGCGGGACCCTTCCATCCCCGCCGGCAGCGACATGGTGGGTGGCGGCGGCGGGCTCGGGTCTGGCCGGGCGGGGCCGTGCCAGCCCCCCTGCCAGCCCCCTTGGGTTCCCACTTCCTGCGGCTCCGCTCCACAGGGAGCGCCGGCCCCGGCCGTGCCCTCACTGCCGGGCGGGGCCGGGACCACCTCCGCAAGGTGCCTCTCGGCAGCTCCGCTGCCACTCCCCGGACTGCCCCGACCCCGTAGCATCTCTGCCGCCCCGTCCCGGCTCTCCCTGCTAATGATGCTGCTGCTGCTGCAGCCGCTCTGCAACTGCCTCGGAGAGTTTAAACACTTCCATTGTTACCACGCTCCCTCCCGCATTTCCTCCCTTTGCCCTTTTATCCCTGGTCACTGTTGCTACCGAGGACTATCCCTGAAGTTTTAAAATAACTCTTCCTGGGAGGAGGGTGGGGGGAAGCCACTGAATTGCATTTCGCGACTCTGGCGCCCTTCCCGACGAGGAGGTTTGCCAGACAGAACGACGTGTGTCTCACACGTGCGCGAGTGAATCTGGGCCCTTGCCGATGCCATGTGCCTGGGACAAGATAAGGGCAGAGAAATCTGTACCCGACGGAGTTTCATTTGTCTCCACCCCGCAATCCCTCAGTCCAGACCCCCGTATTTTCCCTGGGAAAATCTTGCCGTGGCCATGGTCTGTCCTCCTTCGACTGATGCTCTTGAAGGAAGGAGGCTCAGGAATTTACTTCAACCGTGTGTTCTGCTCTCCAGCTCAGCCAAAGAAATTGTATACCTCTTGGGCTTGTCTGGACATGGCTTCAAAAAATAGTCTTAGCTATAAAAAAAATATAGCTTTTACTACTTCAGGAAAATAGGGCACTTTAAAAATTGTTATTGGCTCAGATGACAGACCTCTCTTCTCTCCTGAAAAAGATGCAGATCCAGCACCTGGGAAAAGATTTCCAAACTCCGTTACAACAACACATAAGGTCTTATACAAAGAAAGAGAAATATTTGATACTGGAGAGGCCATTTTTGAAGTTACATCCTCGATGCATCTCTGTTGAGATAGACGTATATATATATAAAGCAAAAGATTCAGGATTTAGAGCACTCCTTACTAAGAAAGAAATCACCTCCCACCTTGGACCACTTTCTTGCAATCAAGCCCTCAAAATCAACATTTATGCCAGGGTTTATGGACCAGGGCTTGAAGTAAGTTTTAACACTCAAGACTGCATGAGAAGGCAGCCCTTGCATTTTTCTTTGTGCCCTTCCCAGTCTTCAAATCAGCCATTTATTAGCAAACATACAACTTTAACCGTATATGTGAGACTAAAGACTATCATATACATGCTACCTTACATGAGAATTTCTATGATTTTGTCTTTTATTCTGTTAAATGAAAATAGAATTGCAGATATTGTAAATATACTGAAAGCTCACTAATATCAGGTCACTGGAAAAGCCTGTGTCCATATATTTCAGGGCTTCAGAGTAGGTGTCCTGATCTTAGCTTACCAAATCTGCAAGACACAGCCAAAGATGAAAGGTGCTCCATCATAGGACAGATTTCAGCCCTATCCAACTGTGAGCTTACTGTAACAAATGAAAACAGGGTTTCTGTACTTTACTAGTGAATGGAATTTTGCAAAACTTGATTTCTATTTCCAATTTTTCCACGCATGCTCTTCTTAACTTTCAAAAACACAAACTGGAAAAGATACTCCAAAACCAAAACACTTGTATCAGAAAAAAAAAGTTGCTTTCAGTCTAAATCTTCAAGCTGTTGTATTGTGTTTATCCCTTAGCCTGTATTGATACCATAAGTTGATTGGGGTGGGGATGATCAGTTATGGATTTTGATATAGTGGAGGTCAAGTTTCTGAGGCAAGGGAGGGTGGCAGGACTGAGAGAGCACAGAAACTGCTTAGGACAGCAGATTTGGTTTATTCAGGCAAGGAAGATTTCATGGGACTGAGCTCTGAAGGGCAAAGGAGTACAGGAAAGCTGGTCAGCCTATAAAGAAGAGCATCCTCCTCGCAATAAGGATGAACACAGTGAACAAAGAAGGCAGATGTCCAGGTCAAAAAAAACCAGCCAACAAGGCAGTGCATCAAAGGCTGATCACCACGAAAAAATGGAGAAACATTGCCTGGGCATACAGGGGTAGTGTCAAAGATGCTGGTGCTCACTTGGAATTCAGTTTTGCAAAAGATGTCAAGGGAAGAAAAGAGGAGTTTCTACTACTGCTAGCAGTAAAAACCTGACCAAGGACAACTTGGACCTGTTTCAGAATGGGGCAGGAGACATAGGGGCAATGGACATACGGAAGGAAATAGTGCTCACTGTCATCACCAGCAAGGTCTGCCAGGCCTCTGCACCTGGTGATAAGACACAAGGAGAGATGAGCTACTGGTAGGTAACGAAGACTGAAGAAGGGATGTATTTCAAATATTTGATCTACACAAGTACTAAGACCTGATAGGCTGTACGTGAAAACCCTGAAGGAGATGGCTTCTGTCCTTACAAAGCCATCAGCTCAGAGCTAGTGGATGCTGAAAGAGGTCCTGAATGATTGGAGAAAGGTAAATGTCACATCCATCTTTAGAAAAGTTTAAACTAATCTGAGGAACTGCAGGCTAGTTAGCATCACTTCAATCCCCAAGAATGTCATGGTGCCAGGAATGTTCTTCGTCTGGGCACTTGAAGAAGGCAGTGACTGGAAATTGCCAGCATAGATTTATTAGAGATTAATCATGCCTGATCAACCTGATAATTTTCTATGTTAAAATGACTGCATTTGTAGTTGAGGAAAATGCAGTGGATGCCATTTATTTCTTCATTACGAGGCTTTGAACACCACCTCCTACAGGATTCGTGTATTGAGGTTAGGTTATCACAGTGTGAATGGGACAACAACTACACGGGTAGAAAACTGGCAAATTGGTCTCACTCAGAAGGTCATGGTCCATGGGTCACGCCATACCTGGAGGTCTGTATCCAGAGTGTTCTATGGGGGTCTGTCATGGAGCCTGCTCTGTTCTGCATCTCAGAAAAGTGGATGGGGGTCACTCTCATCAAATCTGGAGATGACAACAAACTGTGACCAATTAGCTCATATTAGGGAAGGCAGGGCTACTGTTCAGAGATACCTGGACAAGCATGAAGAACCAACTAATGGGAACCTGATGAAATTCAACAAGGACAAGTATGGAGTCTTGCACTGGAAAGGCAGAGCCCTGCAGTGAACACAGCTGGGGCAGCTCTGGATACTCCCATGCCACTTCCTTCCCTTCCTCCCCCCTTTCCCCCCCCCCCCCCCCCCCCCCCCCCCCCCCCCCCCCCCCCCCCCCCCCCCCGCCCCAGTTTGTGCAGTAAGAATGCTGATAAACAGCAGCGAGGATCCACATAGTGATGTGTGGTTGGGAGCCTGAAAGGCAATAGGCACAAGGTAAAAACAGAGCAATGAATACAGGTTATAAGGAGAAACTCCCTGTGATGGTAGCTCAGCTGTGGAATGAGGGCCAGAAAAACTCTGTCCTTTCCATATTTAGAGGTTTTCAAGTCCTGATTCGATAAAGCCCTTAATGATCTGGTCTGAGAACAGAGGTGGCCCTGCTCTTGGCAGGGGTTGAAATGGAGACCTCCTGCATCCCTGCCATGAGTACTGAACTGAAGTTACATCTTGGGCATAAGGGTTACATTTATAACTCAGATCTAGAATACCCTGGCTTATTGCTTCTAGCTTTGAGTAATTTTCAGGAAAAAAAAAAAAAAAGAAGTTAAACAACTTATGTTCATCACTTTATTACCTCACCTACATTTATCCCGAAAAAAAAAAAATCAACCATAGAAGTGAGAATATATCGTATTGCTATATAAGTAATCAGAACTTGGAACTTATGTATCATCATTCCTAGTGTTGATACAAGCTAAAATACCACTTAGTTAATAATGGAAACTGATTGACTCTGTGTAAAAGCATTTCTTCTCCTTACTTTTTAACTGTTAAAGATTTAGGTTTCATTCCTGTTTTTTTCATTACCTTTGTCTTCTCTGTACTTTTACTTTCACCTCAAGATGCTTATTGGCTGAAACCTCACCATTCTTGTCACCTGGAAATGCAATTAGGTTGTTCATCCGTGCCTCTCTGGTGAGGTTCTCCCCGTGTAGAAGAGCACTGGAGGAACTTCCTATATGTTTCACAAAGATTTTCATCCTCCAGTCAAACATCTCAACTAATTTGGACTTATAAGCAGGCAAGCTTCAAATCTGTATTTGTGCTAAATATTTTGGAAGAGAGAAAATGTCATTTTAGTGTTCAAACCTGTTTCCAGTTATAAGCATTAAGAAGCAGTTATGAAGAAGGTAACAAACTATCCTTCACCTATTCCCCATTAAGTGTTTTTATACACCCCTGCAAACATTCTACAGTGTTTGCTGATAAAAAGACAGACTCCATGGCACCATAACTCATCTGCTGTGGCACCTCCTAGACTCTTCTCACTAGTGCTTAAATATCAGCAGCATTTCTTATAACTAAAAACAAACATTTGAAGGGCCCAAAGTATTAGACATTATGTGCTATTGCTGTTTCTTTTATTTATTTTAAAGCAAGTAACCTGTAACCTGTACAGGGACACCTGTAAAAAAGATACTTTGTTGGTCTAGTATTTCTGAAAAAAAATTAAAATTTTTGTCCACTTTCTTGTAGAGGATATATTTTTACTCTTTGTAATTTGGCAGATACAATTCTGAGAATTTCATTTCTCAACAGCACTGTCGCAGGAATTAACAAAATGGAGGGATTCAGCTGCTTCCAAGTCCCTTTCTGGCATTTGTAAAAGTAACTGTATCCTTCTTAGGAAGCATCCCAGTCTGTGCGATGATGATTGCAGTTACTTTTCTATCCCAGAAGGTTATTCAAGAGTTCTATCTCAGAACATTACTCAAGTCAGTAGGGACAGGTTGTCATATATCTGCTCAGAAGCCAGTAGAAATGTTTGTAAAACCCTTTTCGTATGATTATTTTCTAAGTAAATATAAGTACAAACCCCTCCTCCCCCCAAATTATCTAAGATACTTGAGCATTAGATTTAACACGCAACTCATTATATATACTTACATACAAATAGCTGTAGAAGTTGCAAATAAATGGAAATAAAACATACCTTAAATGGGAAAACTTCACACTTAGGCTTGAAAATATATACACCTAAGAAAAACCAGAAATAACCTGATTTCTC